GGCCCGCCCTCAGCCGCCTGCCCTCCCGGCCCCGCCGTGCAGCGCGCGGCTCTGGCTCTCGCCCCCCACCCGCGGCCGGGGACGCGCCCCCGGGAGGTTACCGGGCAGGAGCGGCAGGTGGTTGCCCATGTTGTGCGCAGCGTCCTGAGGCTCTCCCTCGTCAGCCATGTCTGTTTACCCGCAAAGGCAGCCGGGACAGGGCGGGGCCGGGGACGCCGGGGGAGGGTACGCGCCGCACTGCCGTCCCGCGCCCCGGGCCACAGCGCCCTCTGGCGGCTCCAGCGAGCAGCGCGCTGTCCTCCGGGATCCACCGGGGAGGGCCGGCCTGCGCGGTAGCACCGCCTCCTCCCAGCCTCTGACGCCCGCTGTAAATCGAGAGCTTTATACAGGTCGGGAAACGGAGTTTCGGTATTTAGCCTTTACTTCATTCTTAGAGGAAAAGCGTGGGAGCAAATAGAAACCTGATCATACAGCATTAGCTTCGATACCTAATAAGCATACCAATGACACCTGGGGAAGCGCAAGTTATCGCGCGGTGTTTGGATTGTAGCTGATTTTCCCCCACGGTTTCACCAGTTTTCACATAAAAATCCAAATTAGCATGCGTTAACCTGAAATAAATATCTGAATTATTATTGCATAGAATAGAAGAAGGCCTATGGCTCGTAAATATAAGTGTCAATGAAAACTAGTCTGTTATGAATTAGACTGAACAAAAACAAAACATTTAGCAAACAACAAAAACAAAACAAAACTGTAAAGAATTAAAATATGCAAGAAGAAAGAGAATTTTGTTTTGTGGTGAGATTGAGTCTGGAAAGTTTTTGGAGGCTAAGAGCTGTTTGAACATTGTATTTTCAGGTAAGAAAGAAAACAGAAATTTCCTTAAATGAGGTAAGACAGCTAAAGGTGGACGAAAAGGAAGCAGAACTGCTTAGAGAAAAGTCTGTATTAAAATATTATTTCAGAACACTTGCCTTACTAAAGCTACCAGCTGAAAACTTCCTTGTGACAGAGGTTCTTAGTTTGTGTCGTTTTGTCTTCTGTCTCTGAATTACTCTATAGCCCTGGATAAGTCATTTAGATTACTTATATTGTCAGGCCTCAGTTTATCTATTGGTGAACAAAGAATAGATCAAAGATTCTAGATAATAAAGTTTACAATATTAATCATAGTATTGCCTTGTTGATTAGGTTGATAATTACATATGTTGTGCTGGTGAGTTCATGGAATTAAAGTGATCATTCTAATCTTCTGAGTTAAAGTCAGTTAGAGTTTTTCTAGAATGCCAAAGAGGATATGAATCATAGCCCAATATAGAAAAATGTGGTGGTGGTAGTGGTAGTGGCGGCGGCGGCGGCGGCGGTGGCGGTGGTGGCAGTGGTGGCGGCGGCAGCGGTGGTGTATGTGTGTGTGCACGTGCATGATAAAGCAGAAGGAGCTAAACAAAATACAAATGAATACCCACTTTTTATATAGCATTATCAGTCCCCCAGTTGTAGAAATATAATACACTGTATTCATCTGCAAACTTTTTCTTCAATGACAAACACCTGTCCTCTAAATACAGACGCTCTTACTTTCCTGTGTCCGCTCCCAGAGATGTTGTCTGGACTCTGGGTCAACCAAGAACTCTGGACAATAAAGGACAGCTGGAAGCCTGGGAGGTCAGCGGATATGGCCAGACAAGCACTACCTCACCCTTTCTTCTCTGCCTTGCTCCAGGGTCACGGGAGCCACCGTCTGCATATGTCTTACTCTCTCTTCTTCTCCCCTTTGTCCCCTTTATTCACATTCACCTTTTCCTCTATTTTGTGTCTACTTTGCCATCCATAGCTACATCTCTCAATAAGGATTGCAGTAGGTGATCATTGATCAAAAATAGTGAAGCAAGCTGGTTTCTTACGTTAAGTCCTGGGTATTCAATCCAAAATGGAAAACACAGTCATTCACCTTTGATTTGTAATATAGCTACTTTCTCCTTTCTTATGTGAAATGTTGAATAATAAGGTGCTATACGAACTAGAGGAAAAAAGAAATGTATATGTCCGTAGGTCTCTGTCTTATGGCTCAAGAATGAACTCTAGCACACATAATGAAGGGTATTATAGAATGAGATCAAATATGAATGAGAAGTTAATTGCTCTTTCAATGTCTGACTTCTCAATATTTGCAACAGGGATAAACATACAGTAAAGAAACATTCCCGCCTCCCTTATTTGTGTTCTCTTTTGAATATATATTTACACTAATACGGTTTTAAAAATCTGGGCTGAGAATGTGGTTCAGTGGTAGAGTACCTGCATGAGGTCCTGGGTTTGATCTCCAGCACCCCCCCCCCCGCAGGAATGCTACCACTAAACAGTTGACCTCACTTCTCTACTGCTGTTTGCCTCCTCCTCTCCACCAGCACCCCTGCTTTTCATGTGGTACCACCAGCACCAAAGTACTTTCACCTCAGGGCCTTTGTACTTGCTTTTCTTCTTTGACACTGATAGGCAACTCACCCTCTTACACCTTTCAGGCACTTCAATCAAGGGTCAAAGGCTGAGACAGTCTTTCGTGAACTACCCAGTATCACACTGTGACCCCATTCCCAGTCCCAAAATACTGTGATACTTGCTATTTTTAGGAGGCTGAGCCCCAAACCTTCATGAATGTGGGATCTGAACAAGAGGCAGAGATCTTTGCTCCTATGAATAGATTCTGACATTTAATAGGTTCTCCAAACACATTTATCAAATAAATGGATAAAAGGCACAGTTGTGGCAGATGCTGCTCAATTCTCTGTCCAATCACATTCTTTTTTATTGCTTGCTGAGAACACTGGCTTTGGTTGGGGCAGCAGTGTATCCAGACTGTGGGGTCATCTTTTTCCCAAGCCCATGTGCAGTACACTCCCCTTCTCCATACTCTTAGAGCCAAGGTGTCATGGGAACCAATTCAGGATGACACAGACAGGATGTTAGCTTGATAGCCATGGAGAATGCATGGAGAATGAAGATGTGGCAGACACATTTGGGACAAGATGTTCTCTGTGATGGAAGGCAAAGATTTTATTGTGGCTTCCTTCCTTGTTGGTATGAAGGTGAAACCATCTACTGGCTTAATGGCTAAAACCAGCCAACTAGCTCTAAATAGCCAACACAGTTTCTAAAAGAAATAATGGAGTTTATTTATTAATTAATTTTATTTTATATTTAGTACAGGGTCTACAGGGTCTCACTACGCAGATTGGACTCATAGTGATCCTATTTTTAGTCTCCCAAACACTGAGATTACAGAAGCACCGCTACACCCAGTCTCAATCATCTCAGTGCACCCCGGGGGTGGGGCCGACAGGGCACACTGGGGATCGAGCCCGGTTCCTACTCCTTTTTTTTTTTTTTTAATTTTATTTATTTGTGTGTGTGTGTGGCCAGTTCAGCCCACCAGGGGGTGGGGGCTGGCTGGCATGTGGTGCTGGGGGATTGAACTGCGGTCCCTGTGCTTTGCTAAGCTTGTTCTAAGTAGGTGCCCCAGACCACTGAGCCATCTCACCAGCCCTCCCCCGGTTCCTACTCCTGCCTAAGCAGAAAATAATGGAATTTATTTAAAAACAAAGCTAGATTGACTTGTAAACACAGCCTACCATCACTTTTTGAATAGATGAATTAATTGATTTGGAAACTAAATTTTCCAGTTCTTCTTTACAACTAAAGTTCATGTAAGTGACTGATACATTCATATATTGTCCCAAGTCCTTTCCTCTTGAAGAGTGGCAGCTGTCTGTACCACTCCATAAGACAAAGGTCAAGAACCGATGACCCCTTATAACTAAGTCAGAGTTATAAGGATATATGTTGGCCTCTTGGGATATTTTGAGTTTTTGAGTTGAAGTATAGTCAACATTTTAAAATTGAAAGTACTAAAAATATTGATTTTTAGTCTCCTTTTAAAAAAGTACTAAGATTTGGCAATCATAGGTCAGATTCATGTGTGGGAACAGTTGTTTAGATGGGGCATTTAAATGAGTGGCTCTGTTGGACCGATACCCCAGCCAGCCAATAGGTTACCTGTCTGAATCTGGCTGCATCTGTCTTTGTGATTGTTTGTATGATAATGTATAGTGAAAGCCCATATGCCTCTAATTTTCCCAGAACAGCCTTGCTACCAACATGATTATTACCAGAGAATCCCCTCCTGTTACTATGTTTCACTATCTATGTGCACCAATTTGGACAGACAATTATGTGACCATCTTGTGTGCAGAGTGACAACAGCGCCAAGGCCAAGTGGGCCTGGATGGCCTCCTGCAAATTCCAGTTGTGTCCTAGTAACTCTTCTCTGGCTCCTGGGACACATCGCCAACACTCAAAACGAAGGAAGGAAAGGTTTATTTAGCTCACAGTTACTGGAGGTTTCAGTCCATACTCAGCTGGCTCCAAGACTGAGAAGCACAAGGCAGAGAGCAAATTTTCATGGTGGCAGCCAAGAGCAAGAGCACAAGGGAGGAGTAGCAGCAGCTGAGGCAGCTAACTTCTCTTCCCACCTTACATTGAAATGCAAATTACCTGCCCCAGGGCAGGTGCAGCCTCCACACCCACAATAATGAATCACAAACTCCAGAAGCCACCCCAAGACTGCAGAGGCTTTGGAGGGACATCTAGACACAAGCTATAACACTGGAAAATGAAGGGTGACATCCAGGGATCTTTACATGCTTCATAGCTTTAGTGATTCATTAATAAAAAGCCATTTTCATGAAGTTTCTTTGAGCTGCTTTGGTGTTCTGTCACTCACTTTAAAAGAACTTTAGAATTAAAGCAAAGTAATTTTCATGTTCCTAATCTCCAGAAGACAGTCTCTGAAACTTGTCTGACTACAGGAATCTTCTTAATTGTTTGGCAGTCCATCTGTCACAGCAATACCGGGCTACCCATCAAGAAGTGCATCTTTTGCTTAGAGTGCTTTTACCATCAAGTGCTGGGCCTGGAAGCCACTGCTGTGAGGTGTACTTCAATATCTCATCCTGTACCAAGCAGTTACAAGGGAATGAAAGATGGACCCTGTCTGTTTTACACTGGCCTAGAGGGGAGAAAAACATGGACAGCTGCTCTGTGAGCAGGCATAAAATCAGAGATACAAAGAGTATTTCATCACCCATTTGAAATGCTGACAATTGTATTAATGACTTACATTCATA